AACGAAATCCTGGCTATGGGCCTGATTCCAACACATGTAGGTCACGAGTTGTACAAAGTAGACTGCAGTTTGCAGGAAACACACTGCGCAGTTAGGTTTTCCATATTTATCTTTCTTCAAGGCTTGCGCGTTTCAGCTGAACCTGAGCAACTTCTGATGGCTGGATACCAGTAGATCCCCATATTCATTCTTGCATTCCTCCCAAAAACAAGAAGGTAGTCAGGTAGACATATTCAGCCCATAGCCAAAAAAATGCGTATAGATATGGCCCCACAGGTGGCATTGGGGAACTTACGAAACTTCCCTTTCCATTCCTGGGAGCCTTTCCTTTTTCCTTCAAGGGAGACTGGATGCCAACAACAGTGTTAAGAAAGCAGTAAGGTGGCCTTTTGCAGCTGACAGATGGTAATTCTGTCAGTGCCGATTCTGTTTAAGTGCAGGTCAAGGTCTTTAGGCACTGCACCCAGTGTGCCTATCATCACTGGGACCATCTTTACTAGCTTGTGCCAGAGAGTCTTTGCAGTTCGATCTTTAAATCCTCATATCAGCTTTTCCAGTTGTTTCTCTTCAATACTGTGGTCGCCTGGGACTGCAACACCGACAATCCATACTTAGTTTTTTAACACACTCATGAGGTCAGGAGTATTGTGCTCCAAAACTGTTGTCAGTCTGAATTCGTAAGTTCCAGAATAGTTTGATGTGTTCCCGGCTTGTGATCCCACCAGTTCTTTGTCACAAGCAGATAGTATTTGTAGCACAAGTTCAAATTAATCATCTGAGCAATGGTATTATGCCTCTGCTTATAGCCTGTCTGTGTGATCTTCTTGCAGCAGCTGATTATTATTATTATTATTATTATTATTATTATTATTATTATTTGAAGGAAAGGAAGGGAAGGAGTAAAAAAGCTAAAAGGGAGAGCCACCCACCCACCCATCCCACATGTTCCCAACTCCCAGTCACTTCCACTAAATAAAAATAATCAAGAAAATAAAGGAAAATCAAAAAAGATTAAACCATGATGCCAAATAGGGGAGGAGGAGCTGAGAACAGCTGCCACGTGGCCCTGTTACAAATGGGAATCCATGACAGCTGGATCCTTGCCGTTATGGGCACCTGAACAACTCAACGAAACCGGATTGGCCAAAGAAAACGACTAAAAACAGATCCGGGCTCAAGCTTACTATCTTCCTTTCTTTCCCTTTCCTCTCCTTTCCTCCCCTTCTTCCTTTCTTCCTTCTTCTTTTGTCAAAAAGATTTACTGGAGATCGAAGTCTGTTAGCCAAAGGTTTTCAGGGTGTAGTGGCCCAAGTGGCAACCATCTTCAAATTACTTCCTGACACCAAACAGCCAGTATTACACACAGAGTTATAGCCAAAAATGAAGAATAGCTACATATTATACCTGTCCTGCCCTACCATGATCTTGACAAATAGGTGATGGAGATCTGGGGGCAGGAACCGGGGCAGGAATGGCTTCTTGTTCTGTCTTTGGGATATCAGAAGCAGGTACCGGTTGCCTAGAAAACACAAATTGCAATCTGTCAGTACCCACATAATAATATAAATATCAAGACAAATGCACCCAACAGCTGCTCAGGATCCACTTCCGAGACTGTGACAGATAACTAGAAAAGCAGAAATATCTTCCTGGAAAAGTCAGAAAAAGTCCTTTTTGTTTCTGCACCACCAAAAGGAAAACTGCACCATCGGTTCAATACTGATCAAGTCACCGATTCACCAGAATATGGACAGTAAGAGACATCTGCATTTGCGCTCTGCTACTTTGCTGCTGAATATGCATGCCCGGTGTGGAACACATCTCACCACATTAAAACAGTGGATATGACTCTTAATGAGACATGCCGTATTAACACAGGATGTTTACGCCCAACACCACTGGAGAAACTATACTGATATCTGTCGGGAAGTAGCAGCTTGTAATGAAAGGACCAAGAGATTGACATCTCCAGCCATTTCTCTGTTCAGATATCAGCCAGCAAGCTAACACCTTAAATCAAGAAATAGCTTTCTAAGATCTACAGAGATACTTGCAGGAACACTTCAGCAAGCAAGACTCCAAAAGTGGCAGGCAAAAATCCAGAACCTCAATCCATGGCTGATACAAAATGAGAGATTCCCTCCTGGGCACACAAAAGACTGAATGACTTGGAAGATGCTGAACAGACTGCACTCTGGTACCACAAGGTGCAAAGCTAACCTTCAGAAATGGGGCCACAAAGTGGAGTCCATGACATGTAGGTATGTAGAAGAGCAAACCACAGGTCACCTATTACAATGCAGCCTGAGCCCTGTGACGTGCACAATGAAGGATCTTCTTATAGCAACACCAGAGGCGCTCCCTTCTGGCAGTTGATGTTATTGTTGTTGTTGTTTACATTTGTGTAGACGTTAGACATTGATGGAGTAAGCACGCTCCATTTATAGTGTCAGGATAAATCAGGGGCCCTGAAACACTGCCATTGAAATTCCGGATTGTGTGCTTCAAACTGGATTATATAACAGTGTAGACTCATATAGGTAAAGGTTTGCCCCTGCCATGAAGTCCAGCTGCGTCCAACTCTGGGGTGTGGTGCTCATCTCCATTTCTAAGCCGAAGAGCCGACATTGTCCGTAGACACCTCCAAGGTCATGTGGCCGGCATGACTGCATGGAGCGCCGTTACCTGCTCGCAAGAGCAGTACCGTACCTACTGATCTACTCACATTTGCATGTTTTCGAACTGCTAGGTTGGAAGAAGTTGGGGCTGACAGTAGAAGCTCATGCCGCTCCCCAGATTTAAACCTGCGACCTTTCGGTCAACAAGCTCAGCAGCTCAGTGGTTTAACCCACTGCACCACGGGGGCTCCTATAATCCAGTTCAAAACAGATAATCTGGATTTTAAATGACAGTGTCGATGGGATGAAAGTTGCCCCTACAGTAGATAACAGCAACATATCTCCTTTAAAGTTTAAACTCTGAATGGCCCTCCAATGAAACTTAGCATTTACCATCAGAATCCATCTTTGGAGTCCTGTTCAAAAATAAATGAAGCCCTGTTGTGCTAATCCTGGAATTCCTCACTGCATGGGGAACCTTTGACAGAATTATCTTTAAAACACCAGACTGAAAAGTTTCCAAGAAGGACCCCCTGTGGCACACAAATAATAGAGGAGATCTCTCATCCATCTCCTCCAATTTCCCACAATCCTGCATACAATGAAAGCACTCCAATATAACACAAAGATGCTCCTGCATCTTTAATTGCACATTAAGTCCCTTCTCTTTTCAGGCTTTTCAACAGCCTCTGAATAACAAGGTCTGTCATCCCCTACACCTTAGACCAGCCCTTAAAACATTTACAAGCTGTCTAGCAGAGGGGACAACAATCCCTTCAAAACCCATCTGCTTCCTGTCTACAGGGGTGGGAAAGGATAGAATTTACTCCCATTGAGAAAGAGGATCATTGCTCAGAGGTCACAATAGCTGCGACAAAGGGTGTAAGGGGAGAAGAGAGCAAAAACAAATAGAACAAGGCAAGCCAGACTATGCGGCCCCCAAGACTGTATTTGTGACTTTCAGCCCCTTTAGACTTTCCACGGAAATCCGAGATGGATTAAACATTTGCAGAGGGGTTTCTGAGAGCATGGGTGTGGTTAATACATGCATAATGTCATTAACAAAAAATTAGTATTTCACAGGTACACTCCTCCCTCCAAATGTGTGATTTTGGTTTTTGCTGCTTTGGTTATTTGCATATTTGTTTTAAAATATTTTCTCTAGGAATCTCTAGGTCTTCCATGTCTTCTATGGTCAAATTCCTCCAGTCATGGTGGAAGACCAAGACATTCCTGAAGATCTGTTCTCTCAGGTGAAAAATAGCAATTTCAATGTCACATCCCTTCAAATATTTAACTATGTTTATCATGTCTCCTCTCAAACTTATATCCCATTATGTTAATCTCCTTTTATTGTTTGTATGTTTTTGTTTTATGGTTGTACTTTATTTTAATTTGTATTTTGTTTTTAATTTTAATTATTATTTGCTGCCTGTATCTTTTTTGTTTACTATATGTGTTGGGCTTGGCCTCATGTTAGCCACCCCGAGTCCTTGAGGGGAGATGGTGGCGGGGTATAAATAAAGTTTAATAATAATAATAATAATAATTTGAGAGCCAAATTGACAAAGAAAAAACATGGCTGTGGCTCACAAATGGAACTCTGAAAAAGGAGACGGAGGGCCTGATTCTGGAATCCCAAGAACAAGCCATTCGAACCAATGCCATCAAAGCCAGAATTGAAAAGTCGACAACAGATCCCAAGTGTAGACTCTGCAAAGAAGATGAAACAATAGATCACATCCTCAGCTGCTGCAAGAAGATCACATGGACAGATTACAAGCAGAGGAATAACACCGTTGCTCAGATAATTCATTGGAACTTGTCCCACAAATACCATCTGCCTGCAACAAAGAACTGGTGGGATCACAAGCCAGAAAGTGTTACAGAGAATGAACACTCCAAACTCCTCTGGGACTTCCGGATTCAGACAGACAGAGTTTTGGAGCATAATACTCCTGACCTCACAATCGTGTTAAAAAACAAAGTATGGATCGTCGATGTAAATCCCAGGTGACAGCAGGATTGCAGAGAAACAACTGGAAAAGCTGACATGATATGAGGATTTAAAGATCGAACTGCAAAGACTCTGGCACAAGCCAGTCAAGGTGGTCCCAGTGGTGATCGGCACACTGGGTGCAGTGCCTCAAGACCTTGGCCTGCAGTTAAACACAATCGGCGCTGACAAAATTACCATCTGCCATCTGCAGAAGGCCATCTTACTGGGATCTGCACGCATTATTTGCTTATACATCACACAGTCCTAGACACTTGGGAAGTGTCCGATGTGTGATCCAATACAACAGCCAGCAGAGTGATCTTGTTTGCTGTAGACTCATCTTGTTGTGCTTATAATAATAATAATAATAATAATAATAATAATAATAATAATAATAAATAACAACAACACACTGGGTGCCATGCCAAAAGACCTCAGCCGGCATTTGGAAACAATAAACATTGACAAAATCACGATCGGTCAATTGCAAAAGGCCACCTTACTTGGATCTGCATGCATCATTTGAAAATACATCACAGTCCTAAACACTTGGGAAGTGTTCGACTTTTGTGATATGAAATCCAGCATATAGATCTCATTTGCTGTGGTATACTGTGTATTTGTGTCAGTAAAATAATAATCATAATTTTCTCTTCTCCAGACTCAACACACTTAGCTCCCTAAGATGCTACTCATAGCGTTTGGCTTCTAGACCTTTGATCATTTTGGTTGCCCTTCTCTGGACACATTCCAACTTTTCAGTATTGTACTTCCTCAGATACTTTACAAAAAGCTAATGCTGCTATGTTCTCTCAGTTAGCCCCTAAGGCCCCTTTGTGTACATTTCCAGCAAATCAGTAGACATTGGTGGGCAACATAGACCAATAGATTGACTCAGTACAGGACAGCTTCCTATGTTCATAGAACTAGCCTAAAAGACTTATGCTGACTGCTGAACCAACATCTTACCTTGCAGAGGGAGGCTTGGGCTTAAGGTTCTTCTCAAATTCTTCAGGGAGGTTGACTACCGGGACTTTGGACTTAAGGTTCTTCTCCGTTTCTTCAGGAAGACTGGCTCCAGAGGTTTTGGCCTTAAGAATCTTCTCAAGGTCTTCAGTCAGACTGACTCCAGAAACTTTGGCTGGAGTAATTGCTTGGCGAGAGAGGAGGCGCCTTGGTGAAAGGTTTTCTGGACAAACAAGAGCAGACTCATGTGACAACAGCAAGATATATGTGAAGGGATGTGAAAGCTTGTGGATAACAACCATTTCCAACCCGATCCCCCCAACTATCTAGCACAGCGGTTTTCATCCTGTGGGTCCCCAGGTGTTTTGAACTATAACAACCAAAAATCTCAGCCAGATTACAAGCTGTTACAAGCTGTTAGGATTTATGGGAGTTGAAGGTCATTATCAGAATACACAGTAGTGCAGTGTTTCTCAACCTGGGGGGGGTCGCAAGGGGGTGTCAGAGGGTTTGCTAAAGACCATCAGAAAACACAGTATTTTAGAGACTTCCGGTGAGGGAAGATGGCGACAGGACGGTCCCTCTGAGAGCTCCTCTGAGGGGGAATCGCGTCGAGAGGCTGGTAGAGCGATAGCTCCCCACCTTTGAGCGGATTGAGACTCGAAGGTGTGCGAAGACCCTCTAGGCAAAGTTTGAGGTCCCAGATCCCCCCACCCCTCAAGGGAGGAGGGTGAGAGGACACGGACTAGCCGGGGAAAGCAAGCCACTCCGCGAGAAGCTGCCAAAGGCAGCATTAACTGTCGCTGCCCATCACACTCATCGACGAGAAGAAACAATAAGAAATCCATACTGGAATAAAGAAACGTAAGTTTCATAAGAAGGAATTTTGGGGAATAAGTTGCATGAACCCCTCCCGATAGCCATAAAGGAGAAAGGGAGGTGAGAATTTTAAGCGAAGAAAGATCAGATCAGATCTAACTGATCGAAGCTAAAGTTAAAGGAGAAGACATCGCGGAGATGTGTTAATAAAGAAAAGAATGGACAGAGACATTTGATTTGAATAAAGGGAACCTGGGAAGCTGAAAAATAGAAAGACAAAAGGATAAAACAAAAGGAGATAAATTACCTACGGGGGGCGGAGATAGCGGATAGCAGACCCCCCCCCACTGTAAACTTTAGAGAAATTGGAAATAAGCCAGTGACAAAAACTAAGATCTAATAAAGGGAAAGTATCCCTGACCTTGACGCCATGATGTTTAGTCTCTGAGGAGCTTCTTCATAAACATACTGAAGAATCCGCGCGAAGAGCCCGGAACAAACAGGAAGTCGAATCACCAGCCCGGACCTGACGCAACGCGCAGACGGACGGGCGGAAGAAGAAGGCCATACGGAAAGCACTAAGGGCGGAAGCGGTCAAGGACGTAGACTACGCGGCAATCGGAAACGCCAGCTGCGTAGCCTACGGAAGTTGCGGATTCGTCAGAATCTGGCTGCAAAGAAAACACGGAGCGGATTATTGAAATTGGAGTAAGCGGTCGTCGGGAGGCAAGAGAGCAGAAGTGGGAAAGCATTGATGCGAAGGAGTACGTCGGGAGGCAAGAGTTCGGCGAGAGGCAAGAGGGAGGAGACCTAGCGGAGAGGAGCAAAGGAGCGGATCGGATCGGATCGGAGCATCATAGCGGAGTGGAGATACAGTATCTTAGGAGACAAGAGAGAGGAAGTGTCGAAGAGAAGAGAATAGAGCAACAATTATTAGATCAATTAAATCTTCTTTAAATAACTTTACTAATAAAATAACTGGGCCAATAAACTGAATAAATAAATAAACAATCAGAATAACAATTGTTGGGGAGATATTATAGAAACGATAAACAAATAATTAGTATAATTTAAATATAAATAAAAAAGAAAAAAAAAAAAGGAGTAAAAGGGGAAAAGTGATTTTTAAAATATAAATTATATAGTATAGGTATATAACATACCTCTGAGATTTAATTATTGATTCTTGTCCTCTCATATAGACTTAAAAGATAAGAGAGACAACACTCAAGAACAAAATGGAAAAGGATTTAAAATTAGCTATGACGGCAAGGAGAGGCTCCCAGGGCTCAGAAGAAGGGGTAAAACTGAAGGATATATTAAAGGAGATACAAAAGATATCTAAGAAACAAGATTCTGTACAAGAAGAAATTAAGTTGATAGCAGAAAAACAAGAAGCAAACTATACTGCGATGCAAGCAGAATGGAAGGAGATGAAGAAAGAGCTTAAAGAAGAATATGGAATAATAAAGAAAGATGTAAAACAATTAAAAGAGGAAACTAGGGAACTGAAAAAAGACAAGGAAAAAATTGAAGAAAATCAAAATAAACTTCAGAAAAGGATAAGAGATTTAGACAGAAAACAAGCAAAATATGAGAGAGAACAAGAAAAGCTACAACAGACAGAACTTGATTTTCAACTTAGATTGAGGAATATGTGGGAAGATCCAAAAGAAGACCTGAAATCTGAAGTGATTAAGATACTAGCATCATGTATGGAGATTCCGGAACAAGAGATGGGTAAAGAGGTGGACAAGATATTCAGAATTACAACTAATTATTCAAAAATAAACAATACCCCAAGAGATGTGATAGTGCAACTGGCAAAACGTAGGCTAAGAGATGAAATACTTTATAAAAATAATAGAAAAGCAACAATATTCAAAGGAACAAGAGTGGTGATGCTGAGAGAATACCCGCAAACGGTCATAAATAGACGAAGGAAATATTATTTCCTAACAGAGGAATTAAAGAAAAGGCAGATCAGATTTCGCTGGGAGCGCAATGAAGGGATAATGACCACATACAAGGATGAGAAATATTGGATTACTACAGAAGACAAAGCCAAGGCCTTCTACGACAAACTTATGAAAGATAAAAAAGGTCCCTCCCCTAGGGGGGGGAAACAGAAGAAGAGACCGAGACCAGAATCATTAGAAATGGAAGACCGAGGTGAACTTACAGAACAAGGAGCAACAGCGTTGAGTAATGTGGATGAGGACAGAGATGATGTAGGAAGTGAATCAGATAAAGCAACGGATGATAATGAATAAGCAACAAATAAAATGTTACAATAACAATGTGAATGGGCTTAATTTACCACAAAAACGCAAAAAATTATTTACTAAATTAAGCAGAGAAAAGTATGACATCATTACTCTGCAAGAAACGCATATCTCCCAGAGACATATACCCCATTTGGCAAACAATAAATTAGGGAAGCTATATTGTTCATCAATTGATAAGAAAAAGAGAGGGGTGGCAACATATATTAAGGATACATTAGACTCAAGATTAGAATTTAAGGATCAAGAAGGTAGAATCCTGGGGGTTACAATCTTCTCAGGAGACTTAAAAATACTTATATGCAATATTTACGCTCCGAACGGCCCTAAAAAAGCATTTGTAAAAATTCTCAAAGAAAAACTATTGAATGCGGAATTTGATGAACTGATACTCGTGGGAGATTATAATGGAGTATTGAACAGTGAGGAAGATAAATCTAAGACCCATAAGAATAAAAAACCAAAGGATGGACATACCACCTTACCACAAAATTTAATTCAGTTGAAAAAAGAAATGGAGTTAATGGATGCATGGAGAGTGAAAAATGAAGGGAAAAAGGACTTCACCTTTTATTCATACAGACACAGTTCCTGGTCAAGGATCGACATGGTCTGGTTATCCAAAACACTTCTCACACGAATGGATGAGATAAACATTCTCTCGAGGGACATCTCAGACCATTGCCCAATAGTATTGACTATAGACAAAGAAAGAAAAACTAGAAAATGGAGACTTAACGAAAATTTAATCAAAAAGGAACATGATATAAAGAAATATAAAGAAATAGTTAAAAACTACTTGGATATAAATCAAATAGAGGAAACTAAACCTCAAATTGTATGGGACGCTTTGAAAGCGGTCCTAAGGGGACATCTGATTCAGCAAAATGCAAATATTAATAGGATGAAAAATATAGAGCTAAAAGAGGTAGAGAAACAAATATCTCTTAATGAAAAGAATCTGAAATTAAACCCCCATAAATCATCTCTAATCAAACTATTGTCACAGCTCAAACAAAAGAAAAACTATTTAGAACTAGAACAACAAGCAAAACAAATTAAATTTCTAAAGCAATCATATTTTGAGAACGCCAATAAGTCGGGGAGGTGGTTAGCGAGACAAGTACAAAAAAAGAAACAGAAAGCCCAAATAACGAAACTGAAAGTAGGAGATAAAACAATCACAAAAAATGAAGATATCTTGAAGGAATTTCAGAATTTCTATAAAAACCTATATAGCAAAGATAATATCTCAAAAGAAGACATAGGGACGTATATAAGTAAAATGAGATTGGAAAAAATAAATGAGGAACAAAGAGAGAAGCTGAACAGAGAAATTACATTAGAGGAAATAGACAAGGCAATAAGCAGAATGGATCCTAGTAAGGCCCCGGGTCCAGACGGATATTCAGCGGGTATTTATAAAGCTTTAAAACAGGAATTAAGTCCGCTATTACAAAAAATTATGAATGAGGCACTCCACTCTCAAATAATACCTGACTCTTGGAAACTGGCTGAGATAACGCTAATCCATAAAGAAGGAACGGATCCTACAGACACTAGAAATTACAGACCGATATCCCTTTTAAATACTGATTATAAAATTTTCTCAAATATACTAGCCGCAAGGCTGAAAGATTTTCTTAAAGACTGGATCGGTGAAGAACAGGTAGGGTTTCTCCCCAACCGATATATGAAGAGTAATATCAGAACTATTTTGGATCTGATTGAGCATTATGAACTAAACCATCAAAAGGAAGTAGCTTTTTTGGCAGTGGACGCCGAAAAAGCTTTTGATAACCTTAATTGGGATTTTTTTAAAACTTTATTCCAAGAATTGGATATAGGATACAACTTTGGCAATGCTATAAATTCGATTTACAATATACAGAAAGCCAAAATCTCAGTCAATGGTAAGTTGGGGGATGAATTTACAATATATAAAGGGACCCGACAAGGATGCCCCCTTTCTCCTTTAATCTTTATTATGGCGCTAGAAATTTTGATTAAAGGGATAAAAGAAGATAAAGAAATTAAAGGAGCAAAGCTAGGGAAATATGTATTTAAAATTAGGGCATATGCCGATGATGTTATAGGCATTATTGAGGACCCTCTGAACAATTTAGAAGGATGGATAAATAAAATTATGGAATATGGAAGTTTGGCGGGCTTCAAATTGAATAAAACCAAAACAATGATTCTGACAAAGAATATAGATAAAAAGAAACAAGAATTAATTACCAAACAGACAGGTTTAAGTATAACTAAGAAGCTGAAGTACCTAGGAATCTGGATCGCGGCAAAAAACAACCAACTGCTTAAGAACAATTACGAGACTCTTTGGAAAGAGGTAAAAACTGATTTAGACAGATGGAAACATTTAAATCTCTCTCTTTTTGGACGTGTGGCTCTTATAAAAATGAACATTCTCCCCAAATTGACGTTTTTATTCCAAAATATTCCCATCATAAGAAACGTAGAAATATTTAAAAAATGGAATAAAGACTTGTTGAAGTTCATCTGGGGCAATAAAAGACCTAGGGTAAAATATACCGTGCTTATAGACAAAAAAAACAGGGGAGGGTTATCCTTCCCAGATCTAAAACTTTACCATGAAGCGAATGCCCTAGCATGGACAATGGAATGGATGAAGCTCTCAGATGAGAAACTGCTATCGTTGGAAGGTGGGGAACTAAGGAAAGGATGGCATGCCTATATTTGGTATGACCAAGAAAAGAAAGAAAAAGGGTTTGGCAACCATTTTATAAGATCGGTCTTGTTAAGAACTTGGTTAAAATACAAAAGAAATTTTTATCATAAGATTCCTCTTTGGGTGTCACCCATCGAGGCGAACCAAAGACGGCTGTTAGGATGGCAAAAATGGCCAAGATATAGAGATCTCCTCACCAAAAACATAGAGCAGCTAAAATCATATGAAGATATAAAAAAAGATTTTGGAGATATATCATGGCTGCAATATATGCAATTAAGCAGCAATTTCAAACAAGATAAGAAAATAGGTTTTTGTTTAGAAGAGAACATATGGGATAAACTATTAAAGGTAGAGAAAAAATTGATATCCAAGATTTATAGTAAACTACTGGATTGGGCAACGGAAACAGAAATAGTTAAAAACTGTATGGTCAGATGGGCCCAAAATGTGAGAAGATCAATTAACTTAAAGGAGTGGGACATGATATGGAACAAAAAGATCAAATACACATACGCCACAAATTTGAAAGAAAATATATGGAAAATGGTACATAGATGGTATATTACACCAAAAAAAATAAGTATAATGTATAAGAGTATAGAAAATAAATGCTGGAAATGTAAAGAAGAGGAAGGTAGTTACTACCATATGTGGTGGTCCTGTAGAAAAGCACAAGAGTTTTGGAAAAAAATACATATGGAGTCTCAGAAAATTTTAGGAATTACATATCAAAAGAAGCCCGAGTATTATCTGTTAAGTATTACGGATTCGGCCATTGAACTAGATCAAAATAAGGATATACTATTGACGTATTTGGCGACAGCGGCAAGAATTACTTATGCAAAATACTGGAAACTGGGAGAAGTCCCAGACATAGAAAGTTGGTTAACTAAAGTATTAGAAGTAAAAGATATGGACAGATTAACTTTTTTGTTAAGGAAAAATTCAGGAAACCCTATTCGAGAGACAGATTGGTCTCTCTTGGACAATTATATTGATGAGAAGAAGAAAGAAGATTACTAAGAAGAAAATGGATTGAAGGTTGGAAAACAACATATCCCCAGAATGGAAGTCACCTTTTTTTTTTTTTTTTTTTTTTTTTTTTTTTTTTTTTGTCTCCTTCGTGCTCCCCTTTTTTTTTTTTTTTTTTCCTTCTTCTCTATCTTTTACTGTATGGTTATTGTTCTCACTCTTTCCCTGTAACCCTCACTATACCTGAAACTTTAATAAAAATTTATAAAAAAAAAAAAAGAAAACACAGTATTTTTATTGCTCTTGGGGGTTCTGTGTGGGAAGTTTGGCCCAATTCTATTGTTGGTGGAGTTCAGAATGCTCTTTGATTGTAGGCGAACTATAAATCCCAGCAACTACAACTCCCAAATGTCATTCCCCCCAAATTCCACCAATGTTTACATTTGGATATATGAAATATTCGTGCCAAGTTTTGTCCAGATCTGTCATTTTTTGAGTGCACAGTGCTCTCTGGATGTAGGTGAACTATAACTCCAAAACACAAGGTCAATGCCCAGCAAACCTCTCCAATATTTTCTGTTGGTCATGGGAGTTCTGTGTGCCAAGTTTGCTTCAACTCCATCGTTGGTGGAGTTCAGAATGCTCTTTCATTGTAGGTGAACTATAAATCCCAGCAACTACAACTCTCAAATGTCAAGGTCTATTTTCCCTCCAAACTCCACCACTGTTCACATTTGGGCATATTACATTCCGATTCATAACAGTTGCAAAACTGCAGTTAGGAAGTAGCAACAAAAATAATGTTATGGTTGGGGGTCAACACAACTGGAGCAACTGGATTAAGGGGTCGCTGCATTAGGAAGGTTGAGAAGCGCTGCAGTAGTGTATTTATGAGACACAACTTAGACAAGTTACCTTCACCTCAAGTGGTGAGATTCTAAGCGCTGTTTGTATACCAAATTGTGCCATTTTATATCTTAATGCATAATATATCTTCTGTTTAGGAAGGAGTAAAGCAAATTTACATATGATATATACTGCATGTAATAACCTCTTCCTACTCTCATATTTGCATAAAAATAAATATGGACAGGGTGGGACACTTTTCCCCATGACTCCAAAATGTTTATATCTCTACTTGGAATCACGTTTTTAACTTCTATGACACCAGTTTCCAAGACAACCTGGGAAGCATCCCAGAAAAACAGCTGGTATACTCGTTTCCCTCAATCTCGGCCTGTGCTTCTCAACCTTCCTAATGCCGCAACCCTTAATACAGTTCCTCATGTTGTGGTGATACCCAACCACAAAATTATTTTCATTGCTACTTCATAACTGTAATTTTTGCTACTGTTATGCATCATAATGTAAATATCTTATATGCAGGATGTATTTTCATTCACTGGACCAAATTTGGCACAATTTGGGAGTTGTAGTTGTTGGGATTATAGTTCACCTACAACCAAACAGCATTCTGAACTCCACCAACGATGAAATTGAACCACACTTGGCACACAGATCTCCCAGGACCAACAGAAAATGCTGGAAGGGTTTGGTGGGCATCGACCTTGAGTTTTGGAGTTGTAGTTCACCTAAATCCAGAGAGAACTGTGGACTCAAACAATTTTGGATCTGGACCAAACTTGGCACAAATATTCAATATGCCCAAATGTGAACGCTGGAGTTTGGGAAAAATAGACCTTGACATTTGGGAGTTGTAGTTGCTGGGATTTATAGTTCACCTACAATCAAAGAGCATTCTGAACTCCACCAATGATAGAATTGGCCAAACTTCCCACACAGAAGGCACCCACCCCCCAAGGGGCCCGACACCCAGGTTGAGAAACACTAGTCTAAGCAATGATAAAACAGATTACACAAATTTTTAAAAATCAACCTTTTTTGCTGTTCTCTTTCTCTGACTGGTCCTTTTCTTTGCTGGGCATTTCACCTTCTTCAGTGATGGTTTCCATCTCTTTTGCTTCAATCCTATAGGGGGAAAAGTCCAGCCAAAAGGCATTTGAGTGCCCCTCTAGCACATCCCAGTATTCAAGAATCCATTCCTGCAACATTCTAGATTAAGAAAACTACAATTATAATCTCAGAAATCAGAAATAATATGGCATGGGTGATTCTGATTTTGGTATATGAATATACACATACACCAGCTGTCTTTCTTTCATTCTAAAAACCCATCAATTATAAGATGTACACTAATTTCAGTAGCACAACATATCTATCTCACCCTGTTTTCAGACATGTCTGTGGGGAACATTATGTTTTGAAGAATTGAAGAAATGCAACACATCTTCACATTTGAGGATCTTATCTAATTCAGAAGAGCTGCAAGACCAAGAACAAGCCATGAGAGTAAAGACAAAGATCCACCCAGAGGAAAAGTGTTCTTGCCATACATCAAGGGAACCACTGACCACATAGGGAAGCTGATGAGGAAACACAACATACAAACCATCTACAGACCCACCAAGAAAATCCAACAAATGCTACGTTCAGCAAAGGACAAGAGGGATCCTCTCATCTCTGCAGGAGTCTACCGTATACCATGCAGCTGTGGACAAGTCTACATAGGGACCACCAAACGCAGCATTGCCCAAACACGAATCAAGGAACATGAAAGGCACTGCAGACTACTTCAACCAGAGAAGTCAGCCATAGCAGAGCACCTGATGAACCAACCTGGACACAGCATATTATTTGAAAACACAAAAATGCTGGACCACTTTAACAACCACCATGTCATACTACACAGAGAAGCCATTGAAATACACAAGCATGTGGACAATTTCAACAGAAAGGAGGAAACCATGAAAATGAACAAAATCTGGCTACCAGTATTAAAAAAACTCTAAAATTATAACAGCACAACAACAGAGAGGAAACAAACAAGGACATCTAATCACCTCTCAACAAAAGTTTGCTCCAGGCACTGTCAGGCCATTATATGCTAATCAAGGTGGTCAGTTGAAACATTCACACCTAGCTCCAGCAGACAAGAGTCCTTTGTCCCACCCTGGTCATTCCACAGATATATAAACCCTTTTTCCTAGTTCCAACAGACCTCACTACCTTGAGGATGCTTGCCATAGATGCAGGCGAAACGTCAGGAGAAATGCCTCTAGAACATGGCCATATAGCCCCAAAAAACCTACAACAACCCACTTATCTAATTCCTTCATAGCTGCCTTTTCAAACTCTCAATTATCTGATTTCTTGATAGCTGTTTCCTTCTTAACTAATGACCTAACTGAGATATAGGGAACCTGACTATTTCAAAGTCTATTATTCACTTGAAAGTTTTGTAAGTTGTCTGTAGTAGTACTTCTTTTTGTTTCCTTCCTATGCAGTTTTAGACTTGCTTTTGAACATTTCCTCCTTAACTTTCACCAATTGTCCTTGCAAGTCCTTGCTAATTTTAGCAACTAATATAGTTCATAGAATCACAGAAACATAGAAGTGGAAGACATCATGAGAGCTGTCCAGTCCAACCTCCTGTCATGCATATGGCAAATATGTCAAGGTATGTCAGCTGCGTATCATAAACTGTTGATAGAGCTAAACCTTGTCCTCAAATTCAGCTTAACAACTTGGATAGCTTCTTGAAAGTTCAGATTACAACTAAGGATGGATTCACTGGCCCATGGCATGGGAATCATTGTTCACCATAGTCCGGAATCTCAATGGAAAGATCTAAAAACCAGGACTGGAAACATAACTCCTACTTTCAGATGGTAGCTCAGTTGCCATGTTTGAAGCAAGCTGCAGTTTCCAAGCAGTCTTCTTCTAGCTAGACCTTGCCTATTTGCCAACCGCAGCCACCACAAAAGATAAAGAAGGGAGTAAATATACAGATCAAATGAATACACCTACCTTGGAAACACAACAATGTTATTGGAGCGTGAACGTGGAGAAGAAGCATCACCGCCTGACAACACTGAATCTCCTGTCCCAGGCCTCTAAAGCCAAAAAAGATGGAGTCAATACAGCTTTTGGCAAATGTATTCATTACCTAGAGGAGCATTCCTCTGGGTTGCTGTGAGCTTTCTGAGCTATATAACCATGTTCCAGAAGCATTCTCTCCTGATGTTTTGCCCACATCTATGGCAGGCATCTTCAGGCGTTGTGAGGTCTGTTGGAAACTTGGCAAAATCTGTGGAAAGTCCAGGGTGGGAGAAATAACTCTTGTCTGTTTGAGGCAAGTGTGAATGTTGCAATTGGCCAGTTTGGTTAGCATTGAGTAGGCTTGCAGCTCCAAAGTCTGGCTGCTTCCTGCTTGGGAATCATACAGAACTTCAGATATTGTTTGTTTATTTATTTGTTTGTTTGTTTACTATATTTTATATCGTCCCTCTCAGCCTGCAGGCGACTCTGGGCCAGTCCCATCTGAAATGCCAGTCCCATCGGTCATGAACCCCATAGCCTATGGGGAAGAATGCTAGGAATTGCAATCAAATGGCAGTGGGAGGATTGGATGATTCCCATCCTCATTTGAGAATTTTTTAATCCACTGGAACATACAACAGATTGGGTTTCTTGAGTTTAGAAAAAAATTCTCCACCAGGCATGGAATGGCCATTGTGGAGACCTCAATGGATCTACTCTAGGTCTTTGTTGTTAACTGCCAACAAGTCAATGCTGACTATAGCAACACAATGAATAAGAGACCTCAAAGTCGTTGTATCATCAACAACCTTGCTCAGGTCTTGCAGATGCAGGGCAATCATGGATTCCTTGACTGAACCCATCCATCTGGAAGATGATCTCTCCTATCTTCTTCTTCTTACTATTATTATCATTATCATTATTGTCTTTTCTAGTCTCTGTGTGTGATAAATATCTCAGTGTACCAGCAATTCAACTTGCAAATTTACTATGAGATGTTGGACTGCAGACTTGGCTTAGTCACTTTGTGATCAACCATGAGGAATTGCACAGGATAACAAACACTTTACACTATAGTACAGATTTGATATGAATCAAATGTTCCAGAATGAAATTACAAACCTACATTTGAAAGAGCTTTGAGAAGACGCCCACTTCCATCCATGGCCTGCAGGAAGTCTTTGTAAAACTTCATCTTCACCTTGTTGTCCCGAACGATCAAAACGCCAATTCCTTTGAAGGTGAACTCAACCGGCTGCTTGGTGGCAATAGACCGTGAGAAAGACAAGAGTGTCTCTCGGATGCATCCTTCCACAATCTCCCTGTTAAACGGGCCCTCCAAGGACAACACAATGAAATTCAGATGAACAATTGGGATATCACCTAGAGGAAGATAGTATGGAAATGAAAGTAGAAAGCAGTACATCAGATGGATTAATATGTCAAAAGAATAGTAAGTCTCCTTCAGACATTTAGTTTGACTCCACTGCTTTGTGTTCAAGTCTTTGAAACAGCATACACAAACTTTGTCCCTCCTCAATATTACACCTTTTCAAATATTTCAACATTGTTATCACATCCCCAT